AAAAAGGCAGTGCTTTCTCTTAAGGCTATTAAAAATTATGCAGAATTTTAACCATCTGCTGTACCGGATACTCTTCGCTGGTGCTGCAAAGCTGTATTCTTGTAAAGGGAAGAAACTGCAAAGCTTTCCAAATAGAGAACTCTTTTTTAAGCATTTAAATATTGCAGGAAACAGCGTCTTTAAAGAAAGGTTCTGTTTAATTGTGAATTGAGAAATGGGTATTAACAGTATTGAAACGTTTTTACCCTGTTGAGTTTGGGTTTTTCGCTAAAAGGGACACAGGTGTACTGCTACAGCATAGCATATCACTGCTTTAGAAATGTGTGAGCAGTAGAAGACTCGGGAAATGGACAGTGGTAGAAGCGGATAATTTTTGTAGCCTTGTGATTTTTTTTTTTTTCCCCCCAAGGCTTGCTGTGGAAGTGCACGAGTTGTAGCTGAATGCAGCAAAGTAGTTTCTTGCACTTGACCAGCTGCGTATGTACATATGGGAGTGAAATTATTTAATGGGAGTGAAATTATTTAGCGAGTAGCATGGAGGCTGGCAAAGGAATCGTGTCACTGATACGGCCTCCTGAACTGTAGTAATATGTCCAGTGCACAAAGGAAGAATATTTCTAAATAATAATAGATGGGAAGAACGCTTTTGAAGTGGTGAAGCTTAAAGAAGAAAATAGCAGGGATCTTTAATGTAGTATTCTAACTTCTCATAAATTAGATTAACTGTTTGAGTGCCATGAACAGCAAATTAAATATTTCAGATATTCATCAATCAGAATACAACGTTTGTCTGCAGTAAGAGCTAAGAAAATTGGAGATTATTGCCTCATAATTCATCTACGTATTTAAGAACAATTAGTAAGTTATTGGAAAGAAAGATTGTAGTGAAGTATTTGAGGCATGCAGTTCCTTTGAAAATGCAGTTTGGGTTTTCTCTTTCAAGATCTGTCAATATTGGGTTGTTACCTAAAGCCACTGGTTATTATTTGTAACTGGGAGAGTTGTATTTTTTTTAAATGAAACATCTACAATCTACAAATGTATGTTAAGAAAGGCATTTACGTTCTGAAGCCAACGTAGAGGCCCAGTTAAACCTCTTCATTCAATTTTAATTTAAGAAAAAAAAGAAGACTGTATTATAGATGTCTTGTAGACTAAGTAAATTTTCTTATTTTTAAAGCTGAAGATCGGGGCCTGTATTTTGTCACCTGTTGCCTACCACAGAAAGAAAATGGGGGAAAAAACATTTACTGATCATGCAAGCTTTTGCACAGAACTTGCTGTTTGTCATTTCATTACCATTTGGTAAAGAAAATAGCCTCTTTTTTCCCCTCTGCTTTTAGGTGCCACATAAAATTGTACAATATGTTTGCTTCGGATGGTGCCAGAGAAGCATAATGAGGTGTTTAGTCACAGTTTGGATGCGGTATTGGTAGAAAACAGTGCAGGAACTGTGGGCTAGATTTTCAAGGGAATAGTCCTTGTAATCCAAGGCTGCCTAAATCCCAAACTGGTATCCAGGCAATACTGAGACACTAAATTCTCTGTTCGCTTTTTGTTAGGCTGTTATCTGCTGAACATTTTCCTTTTCTTGCAAGGTCTTCAGTATGTCTGGGGATTTTGGTGTTGTGGTTTGTTGTTTTGGTTTGGTTTTGTTTTTTTCTTCTGTTAACCCTTGGATTTCTGTTTGCTCCCCTTCTTGCAGAGCACCTTTGTAAATACGAATACAAACAGTCTGGAGTAAGTGTGCTTTTCTGACATGGAATATGTGGATGGGAGGGCTTTGCAGGGTGACTGTTATAGACCAGTAAAATACTAATGTGCTAATATTTCCCCCTACTATGTATTTGGATTTAAAAGTCAGTGTTCTGTATCAGAGCGCTCCAATATGGTGAAAGGTATACTTAATTATTTAATATTCTGCAGTTTAGAGAAAAAAGATTTCTGCATGAATAAACACGTCTACAAATACTATAGTATTGATATTATTCTGCAGGTTAATTGTATTTTACTGTACGTGCAAAATAGTGTACTTTATCTAACCCTGCATTACGCAGGCTTTGCGATTTCAAAATTGTATATTGGAAACCTATTAGGATGTAGGACTACATGAAACTGAACACCCCTACTAATAGTGAAAGTGTATCATTTGTTTTTAAGAGCGTTTTTCTGTGGGTATGCAATTGTACATGAATAAATATGTAGTAGGTGCTGGGATTACAAAATTATTTTGGATTTGGCATTATTTAATATACTACCTGTAATATATGTTGTCATCCCCGAACACACATCTCAATATAACCTTAATGTTTTTATTTTAATACCAATTTGCTCTTTCAGCAAACATAATAGCATGAAGCTATGGATTCAGGTTACATATTTAGTTCTAAATTTAAATAAGCAAGCAGCTTATTTTAATATTAATTTCACAGTCCTAATGACAGCTGAACAATAATAGCTTTGTGCAGTCGTTTGCAAAAAATTGAGCTCAAGTTGCTGAACCCTAAGCACTGTATTTTTGCTTTGTTGTTGAATGCTGGAGCTGGTTATTTGAAAATAAGTGTGTGTGTTTTGAGGTACTGGAAAAAGTTGTTTTTATCACTTTGTATTCATAGTCAATATTCCCTGGTTAAATAGAATATGAAATGTAGTATAATTACAGTGTCATTTAAATAATTAATTAAAGCCAGCAGATGAGACAATATGCAAAACAGTTTATAGCAACAATCAATTTCCTTATAGTTCTATGTACTGCCGAATTATTGATAAAATAATTTGTATGAAATACATTAAGGACATGTTGGGTGATACTCGCTATGCAGTATCATTATTAACTGTGCTAAAGATACTGTGATCCAAATCATTTGCTAGTCTGGGTGAGGTTATGAGTGATACATAAGCTGGGAAAGTTTTACTCAAATACTTTTTTTTTTTTTTTTTTTTAAATGAAGTCAGACTTAAACAGATCTGCCTGAGTTTCAAATCCATAGAACCCCACGGACTGAAGAGAGAACCTCTGGAACATCTTTCTAAGCTTGTCTTGTGTTGGCATCTATTACTATTACACCATACATAGGCTTGTCTGAAGATACTCTG